TGAGCTACGTGCAGCTGGTTAGCAGAAGCAATTTACAGATGAGTTCCGTGCGCTTCTGCGAACGCAGAGCCGTATTCAGCTGTAAGTCAAGCCTGGCTTGGGCTTGTGGTTCAGGCCCTGGCGGTTCAGCCGGGAAGAYGCAAAACAAGACCGGCTGCGGAGAGGAAAATGCGGCCTTGTGAGGCCTCGATCGGGGTCGCGAGTACGAAGGGTCACCGACAGTGACAACGCGGAGACGAAGGGACGAAAAGCCCCGAGCCGCGTTCGCGCCGCGAGCCGGTATCGGCCGGCACGACGACGACGACGCGGGCCGGGCGGGAGGACGAAGCATGCCTACGGCGCTACTGTCGCACGGTGCCGGACGCGTTCCTGAATGCTATGAACGACGGCGACCTCAAGACCCGAGCAACAGAGCGCAGCTAAAATACACGCCACAGATACATGCCGGAGCCGCCCGCCCTAGCGAGCCCACGCTTCCTCCTGCGTGGCGCCCGAGACGCCGCCCTCACGCGCCGCTGGTCCGCGAGAGGCATCCGGACCGGACAGGCCGGCGACCCGCACGCACCCGACAACCCGACGCGTCCCATCTCCCCACTTAACTCGGGCGGAGCTCCGGGACGCCGCGGCGCTTCGGGACCCCTCCTTGACGGGCGGACGCGTCTTCTTCCATCACGTTTCGGGCGCCCCGTTCGCCTCCGTCGCCTGCCGAGGCAGAGCGCGGGTAGACATCCTTAGAAGAGCCGGCACCTACCGCACCCACAGAAAACAACTCTCCCTCGCGTTTATCATTCCTTCTGCTCACCTGCGCTCTGCCGGATCCTCGCTCTGGTATCGGGACTGTGATGACATTCGGGACATCTGCAAGGAAAGAAAACAACACCAAGTGACACTTGTGCTAGGCAGGGAGAAGTAGTCTGATAACTATAGATACACCAGTACCCCCAGTGAAGTTTGCCTCACCTCAAATCCTTCATCTGGAAATGCAAAAAGTCAACAGGGCGCCTGAAAGAGCAAGGGAAAAAGCAAATCGGCGAGAGACGGCCCGGCAACACCTTACCGCACGACAACCGCCGCCCCCCTCCTCCCCTGCCCTTCCCCCAGCCATCTCCCCCACCTGCTCTCGGGTCTCTCCTCTTCACACGGCTTCTCCTCTCGGGGACCCCCGTGCAATCTGCTGACACCAGAGAGACCGCACCGTGAGGAGACGACAAAAATCACGCGCCCTCGCGACGATGCCCCGCTACTATACCGATCGCCCCACCAAATKATACCATCGGGAAGATTACGCACGGGCTCGCCGACGGCCGCTCCGGGTCATCGCCGTGACGCCGCGCACGCTACGACGGCCGACTAACCTCGGGCGAGACGGCTCTCGCTGGGCGCGCGCGCTCACGCAAACGTCATCGGACGGACAGAAAAATCCTTATGCAGAAAAGACCTGGGACCGCACAGAAGAGACTGAGGACCGGAGAAGCCCTACGACAACGTGACCCCGACGCTCGGCAGAAGCGCGGATCGGAGTCGAGCGACGGCGCCGGGGCGGAAAGGGGCCGGCGAAGCCGGAGATGGCGATGAGAAAGAGGCCTTTGAAAAAGATCTAATGACGGAATGGTGCGGAGAAGACGACCCCGAAAGGGTGCCGGGCTTTGGCCGACGGATGAGGCCGCGGGAGAAATAACCGGATGGCGAGGGAGAGAAGGCTCATGTTGACTCTTACAATATAATAATAAAGAAATGAAGTGGTACATCTAAAGAAACAATTAGAGTACAAGGCACTAAGGGTTAACTGCAGGCAACAAGCAAGGTAGGGCCCCTAACCATTGCTGTACAAGAGAGAAAATAGCAATCAAGAAAAAGATGCATGATCGAGTGCCTAAATACRTTACTAACGTCCAGATGCACGGTCGCCCGGGAGCCCCGTCGCGGCGAGGATTCGGAGAACCTTCCCGGCAACGGGGAGCTCTTACGCGGTGCGTCCACCCGTAAGCGAGGTCTCCGAAGTCGCCGCGAGAGGGGTCCGGCGTTTATAAAGCCGAATGGGCAAAACCGCCATTTTTTGGTGAGCGTTAACATCTGGTAGGTCCCGCTTTCCTTCGCATCCGGGACCGGGACCCGGCCGGAGCCCCGGCTTCGGATGGGAAAGCTCCCTGGGAGGTCAAAACGGGCCGCCCGAAAGCCTACAAAAGCTACAGCTGAATGAGCCTGTGTGCAGGTGGTGAGCAAAGCAACACGCAGGGGAGGTCGGGGTACTTCTACAAAAGCAGAGCCTTATACAGCTGTAAAGTTAACCTTGACTCGGGCCTGTGATTCACGCCTTGGCGGATCACCCGAGAAGGTGGAACACCAGACCAGCGCCCAAGAAGAAAGCGTCACCCTATAAGGCCTTGATGACGGTCACAAGCATGAAGGGCCACCGACGGTGACGCCCGGGAGACGGAGGGACGGAACGCCCGAGTCACGTTCGCGCCTCGAGAGAGGATCCGCCGGCACGACGATGACGACGCAGCCCGGGCGGCGGGAAGAGGCGGGAAGACAAAGGATGCCTACGCCGCCCCTGTCGCGCAGTGCCGGTTGCGTTCCAAAACCCTAAGAGCRAGAGCGACCTCGAGACCCGAACGATGAAGATCGGCGACGGCAAGCGCCGCAGAGACGCCGACTGGAGGCGCTCGCCCTAGCCGTCCCACGCTTTCTGCTGCGCAAGACCCGAGATGCCACCTTCGGGCGCCACTCACTCATCCTCGAGAGGCATCCATACTAGACAGACCGGCGCCCCGCACGCACCCGACAACCCGACGCGTCCCATCTCCCCACTTAACTTGGGCGGAGCTCCGGGACGCCGCGGCGCTACGGGGCCCTCGCTCGAGGGACCGACGCATCTTCTTCCATCTCGTTCCGGGCGCCTCGTTCACCTCCATCAACTGTCAGGAGAGAGCGCGGGGGTAGACATCCTTACACGAGTYGGCGCCTACCTCGCCCACAAAAGAGGACTCTCCCTCACGTTTATCATTCTCCTTCTGCTCACCTGCGCTCCGCCAGATCCTCCCTCTGGTATCAGGACTGTGATGACATTCAGGACATCTGTAAAGAAACAAAAAAGTACCAAGTGACTCTTGCGCTAGGCAGGTAGAAGTAGTCCGAGAACTACCGACGACCGGGCATACTCGGTGAAGTCCGCCTCACCTCAAATCCTTCATCTGGAAACGCAAAGAGTCCGCACGGCACCTGAAAGAGCGAGGGAAAAGGCAAATGAACGAGACCCGGCCGAGCAACGCACCGCCGCACAACAGGAAAATACGCACCCGCGCTCGTCTCCCTCACCCGCTCTCGGGCCTCTCCCGTCCTCACGGCTTCTCCTCTCGGGGACCCCCGGCACAATCCGCTAACAACAAAGAGAGCGTGCCGTGAGGAGAGGACAAAAGTCACACCCGCTCGCAACAATGCGCCGCAACAACACCGATCCCCCCGCCAAGTAAGACCATCGGGGGGACTACGCACAGGCGCGCCAAACGCCGCTCCGGGTCGTCGCCGTCACGCTGCGCACGCTACGACGAGCGAACTCGCTCGGGCGAGACGGCTCCGACGGCACGCGCACGGCCGCACGCCACCGGGCGGAGAGCCCGATGCAAAACGAGAGCTGGGACCGCACGGAACACGCCGAGGCCTAGGGGAGCCCTACGACGTAGCGACCGCGACGCTCGGCAGAAGGGCGGATCGAAGTCGAGGGACGGCGCCCGTGTCGGAAACGGGCCGGCGAAGCCATAAAAGACGATGAGGAAGAGGCCTTCGAAAAAGACCCGGCGATGGAACAAAGCGGGGRAGATGACCCCGAAAGGGTGCCGCCTTTTGCCGATGAACGCCGGGGGCGGTAGAAATAACCGGACGCCGAGGGAGAGAAGGGTCACATTTACTGTTAGTATCCAATAATATAGTAACAAAAGGACACATCTAATGAAACAATAGGCTTACTAGGCACTGCATTCTACCTACAGAGAGCAAGCAAGGCAAAGCCCCTAACCAATACTGTACAGGAAAGAAATTAGCGAACAAGGGAAAAAATGCACGACCGACCGCCTAGAGACGTTACTAACATCCAGACCCGCCGTCGCCGGGGAGCTCCCCTCGCGGCGAGGATTCGGAGAACCTTCCCGGCAACGGGGAGCTCTTACGCGGTGCGTCCACCCGTAAGCGAGGTCTCCGAAGTCGCCGCGAGAGGGGTCCGGCGTTTATAAAGCCGAATCGGCAAAAACTGCCCGTTTCTTGGTTAGCGGAAACGTCCGGTAGGTCCCGCTTTCCTTCGCATCCGGGACCGGGACCCGGCCGCAGCCCCGGCTTCGGATGGGAAAGCTCCCTTCGGGGTCAGAAACGCTTGCCTCGGAGTCTACAAAAGCTATAGTTCAATGAGCCTACGTGCAGGTGGTGAGCAGAAGCAACATGCTGGCGAGTTCTGCGTCAATCTACAAAAGCAGAGCCACATTCTGCTCTAAAGTCAACCCCGACTTTAGAAGACATAGGACGCCTACAYCGCTCCCGTCACATAGTGGCGGATGCGTTCCCAAACCCTAAGAACAAGGGTGACCTCGAGACCTGAGCGACAGAGCGCAGCTACAACTCGCCCTAGCTAATCCATGCTTTCTCCTGCGCAACACAAAAGATGCCACCCTCGCGCACCGCTCATCCGCAAGGGGCGGCCACGCTAGACAGGCCGGCACCCCGCGCATACCCGACAACGCGGCATTCCCATCTCCCCGCTTAACTTGAGCGGGGCTCTGGGACACCGTGGTGCTGTGGGGGCCGTCCTCGAAGGACGGATGCATCTTCTTCCATCWYSTTYCGGGCGYCCCGTTCGCCTCCATCGCCTGCCGAGAGAGAGCACGGGTAGACATCCTTRCAAGAGTCGGCGCCTACCTCACCTACAAAAAACAACTCCCCCTCACATTGATCGTTCTCTTTCTGCTCACCTGCACCCTGCCAGATACTCGCTCTGGTATCAAGACTGTGATGACATTCATGACATCTACAAAGAAAAAAAAAAAAACACACACACATCAACATTAAGTGACTCTGGTGCTAGGCAGGGAAAAGAAGAACTACTGGCACAGCAGTATACTGAGGTAAGTCTGCCTCACCTCAAATCCTTGATCTGGGAAGGTAAAAAATCCACCGGGCACCTGAAAGAGCAGGGGAAAAGAGGCAAATCCATAGAGAGGCAGTCTGGCAACACCCCGCCGGACGACAACAAAATAACCACCCACCCAAACACAGGCGTCTCCCTCTCACCTGCTCGGGTCTCTTCCGCCCGCACGGCTTCTCCTCTCGGCGAACACCGTCACCATCTGCTAACACCAAACGCAGAGCTCACCGTGAGAGGATGACAAAACCAGACCCCCGCCGCAACAATACCAGCTCTCTCCCATAACATTATTCCATCGGGGGAATTACACGCAGGCTCGCCCATCGCAGCTCTGGCCATCGCTGCCGACCTTGACACGCTACGACAGCCAGCTCCCACAGGCGAGGTAGCTCCAGCCGCACATAAACAGTGACACAAACAAACATCGTGGGACAGACACAGAAAAAAGTCTTACGCAAAACAGATCTTGTACCACAAAGAAGGTAGTGAGGACTACAGAAATCCTATAACAATCGCAACTGCGCGGTCCGGACGCTCGGCTAAAGAGCGGATCAAAGTCGAGCACGGGCGCCCGTGTCGGAAAGGGGCCGGCGAAGCCGGACACGGCGATGAGAAAAAGGCCTTTTAAAAAGACCTGATGATGAAACAATGCAGGGAAGAGGACCCTGAAAGGGTGCCGGGAAGAGAGAAAACAAGACCGGCCACCAAAAGGAGAATGTGACCTTAAGGCCTCGATGACGGTCACAAATACGAACGGCCACCAACGGTGACGCTCTGCAGATGAAGGGTCAAAAAGCCCCCGAGATGCCGTCGCGGCGCAAGATGGGATCCGCTGGCACGATGACAAATCGGACCAGACAGGAAGACAAAGGATGCCTATGGCGCTACCGTGGCCCAGTGCCGGATGCGTTCCCGAACTCTAAGAACAAGAGCGACCTCAAGACCTGAAAAACAGAGTGCATCCACAATACGCACCGCAGAGACCCGGGCTTAAGCTGCCTGCCATAGTAAACCCACGCTTTCTCCTGTGCAACACCCAAAAATGCCACCCTCACGCACCACTCATCCACAAGAGGCATCCATACTAGATAGGCTGGCACCACAAAAGCACGCACACACACACACACACACACACACACACACACACACACACACACAGGCTCAGGACAGCCCAATGCCTCCCATCCCTCCACTTAGCTTGGCCAGGGCTCTGGGTCACCACATGCCTTTGGGAGCCATCCGCAATTGACGGAGGCACCTTCTCCGATCTTTTTGCAGATGTATCATTCACCACCATCACCTGTCAGACCGAAGAAGCGGCGGTCAGCCTCGCAACAGTTCGGCTCCCGTATCGGCCACAGAAACGCCCTCCGGCAAAGCGCCGCCATCGTTCTGCTCGCCTGTGCTGCGATCAGATTCCCAAACCGGGGCTGTGAGGACACTGTTCCAGATGCACGCTCTGGTTTGGGGACTGTGAGGACATCCACGACACCTAGAGCAGGAAAAAAAAAAAAAACCCAACCAAACAAAAAATAGTACCAAGCGACTATTGTGCTAGGCAGGGAGAAATACTCTGAGAAGTGCTGACACACCAGTATATTCAGGTAAGTCTGTCTCGCCTCAGATTTTCAGCAGGGAATGCAACAAGTCCACACAGCACCTAAAAGAGTAGGGCAAAAAGCAGATCAATAATAGCCTGGAAACACCCCACCACACAACAAAATATACACCCACCCACCGCCATCTCCCTCTCACCGGCTCGGGCCTCTTCCGACCGCACGGATTCTCCTCTCGGCGACCTCACGCACAATCTGCTAATGACAGAGAGAGAGAGAGAGAGAGAGAGAGCGCGCGCGCGCACCTTGAGGGGAGGACAAAGCCACATCCATCTGCAGCAATACCCCACCACATTACCATTCGACCCCTAAGATTATTCCATCAGAGGGATTAGGCGCCGTCTCGCCGATCGCCGCTCTGAGCCACCGCTGCCTTTCTATAATAGCCTTTGCACGCTCCTATAGCCAATTCCCAAAGGCGAGGAGGCCCCCGATGACACACGGACTGCCACACAAAGAAACATCTTTGGACACAGAAAAGCCTTAGGCAAAAAATACCAGGTACCGCACAGATAGCGCTGAGGACTAGAGAAGCCCTATGGCGCGGCGGCCGAGCGGCCCTGACGCTCGGCAAGAGCACGTATCGAAGCCGGGCGCCGGAGCCCTCGTCGAAAAGGGGCCGACGGAGCCGAAGACGGCTATGAGGAAGAGGCCTTCGAAAACGATCCGATGCCRTAACGATGCGGGGAAGACGACCCCGCCTGAAAGGGTGCCCGGGTTTGGCCGATGGACTGGGGCRGCGGAAAAAAAATGGTCCCCGAAGGGGTAAATGGTCAGGTTTAATGGTCAGGTTTACTGTTAATACGTAATTACACAGAAATGAAATGATACGTCTAATGCAACAAAAAACTTACCGTACACTGGATTTTAACTACAGACGTTAAGCGAGGTAACACACCTAACCATTACTGTACAAGAAAGATACCGGTGATTAAGATACCTGACCAATTGTTTAAATACATTGCTATCTTCCAGATCCGCAGTCGCCGGGGAGCCCCCGTCACGGCGAGGATTCGGAGAACCTTCCCGGCAACGGGGAGCTCTTACGCGGTGCGTCCACCCGTAAGCGAGGTCTCCGAAGTCGCCGCGAGAGGGGTC